CATCTCGGAGATCACGCTCCGTAACGTTAAAGGAACTGTCACTTTCTAGATGTTGAGAGCTGCTGAGTTTTTGTTGGATGGATGGCTTAGAAACGCAACAGTGGGTTGCATATTCCCCATCTGGAGGAAGGTGATTCTGCCCCTCTGCTCTGCTCTTGTGAGATTCCCCCTGGAATACTGCGTTCAGCTCTGGAGTCCCCAACAGCAGAAGGACATGGAGCTGCTGGAGCAGGTTCAGAGGAGGGCCACGAGGATGATCCAAGGGCTGGAGCACCTCTGCTATGGAGACAGGCTGAGAGAGTTGGGGCTGTTCAGCCTGGAGAAGAGAAGGCTCCAGGGTGATCTTATAGCAGCTTTCCAGTACCTAAAGGGGCTACAGGAAAGCTGGAGAGGGACTTTTTACAAGGGTGTGTAGTGACAGGACAAGGGGCAACGGATTTAAACTGAAAGAGGGGAGATTTCGATTAGATCCAAGGAAGAAATTTTTCACTCAGAGGGTGCTGAGGCACTGGCACAGGTTGCCCAGAGAAGTTGTGGCTGCCCCATCCCCAGAAGTATTCCAGGCCAGGTTGGATGAGGCTTTGAGCAACCTGGTGTAGTGGAGGGTGTCCCTGCCCATGGCAGGGGGGTTGGAACTGGATGATCTTTGAGGTCCCTTCCAACCCAAACCGTTCTATGATTCTATGGATGCATCAACGGAAGATGAACTTTAGAGAGACTCACAATTGTGCACAGGTATTATTTGCTCCACTACTCTGCTATCTAGTAGACTCACAATCTTTATCATCTCTTTCTTTTCATCCCCGATTTGGGTACACTACTAACAGGACTGAGAACCTCGCAAGGTTCAGGCCCTCTTACAGACTCGCTTGTTTTCACGTGTTAAGTACACCAACATCCAGCCCCTTACCTCCTCCATAGCAGCAGCCACCCTCACCCCAGCAGCAGCTGCATTTTGGTATCAGGTGTTTGGTCCTGTTGGAAGGGAGAGCTGTGAGAATTACTCCTGCAAGCAGTAGGAGCACTGCTCCCCAATCCCTTCAGCATGCGTGGAGCATGTTTCAAAGCTCTTTTCTTGCTCGTCTGTAACGTTAAGTCACTGTGAGTTAGTGATGAGGGATGCTGCAGCTGTTGGGCCAACAGCTGTTTCCCAGCAG